TTTCCTTTTGTCTTGTTTAGGTTTGATCCTAGAAAAGTGCTGGGAAAACTTAGAGGGAAGAGGTTAATGTTTGTAGGGGATTCACTGCAGAGAGGGCAATGGCAATCCTTTGTTTGCCTAGTCGAATCTGTGATACCAAACGACCTTAAGTCCATGATACGAGGCCGATTGCATAGTGTCTTCAAAGCAGAGGTGCCTCTGTTTATCGATCTTAGTCTCATATAGTAATCATGATATGAGTTTAACAAAATTTTGTACTGTTTTTAGGAATATAATGCTACTGTTGAGTTCTACTGGGCTCCTTTCTTGGTGGAGGCCAACTCAGAGCTTCCTGTTGATCTAAAGAAGAGAATATTGAGAGTTGATTCAGTTGGAAAGCATGGCAAACACTGGATTGGAGTTGATTTCCTTGTGTTCAACACTTATGTTTGGTGGATTAGTGATATTAGGACCAAGTCACTGTAATATATTACTCTCTCTCTCTCTCTCCCTCTCTCTCCCTCTCTCTCTCTATCTCAATTGTTTCCCTCTCTCTCTCTAAGGACAGATGGGGCATGTTCGCGAATGGAGAAGAAGGATACCAAGAACTCGACACGCCCATCGCATACAAAATCGGGCTCAAGACGTGGGCGAATTGGGTGGATTCGAATATCGACCCAAACAAAACACATGTGTTTTTCACGACAATGTCCCCTACGCACCTAAAGTCCGTACAACCCAGTCAAACGAATGTGTCCGTTGTCGGAACTTTCTTCTGTCTACGTTTTTTGTTATAACAAACTACAACTGATTTTCTTTTTCATTTTTGTTTTTCTTTCTTTTTTTTTTTCCTTAGGAGCGTGGATTGGGGAAACCTTAACGGCACGAAATGCTTCAACGAGACAAAACCAATTGCCAACACAAGATATTGGGGAAGCAGCTCGGACAAAGGGATGATGGGCACAGTAGCCCAAGTAGTGGCGAAGATGAAGGTACCCGTGACTTTGGTCAACATAACCCAATTGTCCGAATATAGAGTCGATGCACACACGTCGGTTTACACGGAGTTGAGGGGAAAATTGTTGACGGATGAGGAAAAGGTCGACCCGTTGCACTATGCAGACTGCATACATTGGTGCCTCCCGGGAGTTCCCGATACTTGGAATCGAATACTTTACGCGCATCTATTGTGGCGGTATAATGTATGAAGGAGGTCAAAGTTTTTTATTTTTTATTTTTATTTTTTTTATTTTTTATTTTTTTTTTTATTTTTTGTGGTGATGCATAAAAATGTGTCATCTTGGAAACAAAGTATGAATGATGCATGAAGTTAGATTTGTTGTTGTTGTTCTCTTTTGGAGTGAAGAGATGTAATAGGGCAAAGTGTGGGATCAAGGTCATGCTTATCAAATCTGTATTTGGGTTGAGAATGAATGCATGTCTAGAACTGCAACTTACAAGTGTAAAAGCTTCTATTTAAAGATTAACAAAA